AACATTCGTGTTTCTGTGTCTGTGGCATGTTTAAGAGATCAGAGTTAATCAATTTTCTTCTCTTTCAGGTTTGTAAATTCCTCAATAAACGGGGAGTTTGCGATCAAGCGATAAGTAAACTGCATGAGGAAAAGGTGATTGTAATAGTTTTTTTACAAATTGTTATTTATGCTTATGTTGTGCAAGAGTTAATACAGACAGGATCCCAGCTCATGCACCTGTCAATATCAACAGGAGTAGAATGTACAATTTAATCTGTGTGGAATAAGCATGTGGCTTACCCTAAGTTTATTTCCTTCACAATGGATGCACATCGACAGATCTTTTGCATTTTGGCTTGTAAACTATGGAATGCTCTGCCTTTGAGTATTTAATAGAGATTCACAGGACATTAACTCATTCAAATGATACACGGCCCAAAGTAAGCCCCTAATGTTGCAAAATTATCTCTAAATTTTAGAGTATTTTTATAAAATATAACTATTTCTGGCATTTCAGTCATTACTTACTTTTCTTAGCTTTAATATTTCCTTTTGTTCATTTATTATTTTATGTTTTAGACACACATACACATAATTTTCAAATGAGCTCATAGGAGCTCTTGATCCAGCAAAACTCACAGTTCCCCTAAAATCATTCAATTGCACTCAATACTAGTTGTGTTAATAAATCATATCTAACTAATAATATTGAAAATGTCTATGATTATCTTATTTTTTAAATTACATTGACTATTTCCAGAAAGGTGTTGTTTGATACCGACTTCAGCCGGGCTAAAATGGTTCTTGAAAAATCAGTTTCTGTTAGTAGTTGTTGAATAGTGTTTGTCAGTCGATGATGTTGTAAGTCTGGACTGTTGAACATGATTGGTCAGTATAGCCATGATGTTATTGGCTGAAAGACTCATGCAAAGTTTGTCGGTAACAGTTGTTTAAGTTTGTCAAGTTGTTATTGTAGTTTATTGTTGCAGTAGTTGAGTCTTCTGTGACAGTTGTAACAATGTAAAGGATGTAAAGGATGACCAGAACCTTTATAAGTCAGCTTCCACTACAAAACAGAATGATCAGTCAGTATATTTAGGAGATGTTAATGGCAAAGATGAAGATGAAGTCATGACTGATCAGCAAGAGAGTAATGGTCAGCATCATGTTCATATGCAAGATTACCCAGATGAAAGTGATCTTGAAGTTGTACTGAGAGGCTTTGGCTTAGTGGATAATAATGATTATTCCTTTCTGTTTGACGAGACTGTTGTGGATCCAGTTGTAGATTGTGATGGCAATCAATACACAAGGTATTATAAAATATGTCACTTATAGCCAAGATTTCCCTTTTGAGTTAACTCATTCAAATGCTCTACATTACTCTTCAACTGTTTTTCCTGTATATTTCATAACTGTAAAATACATAGACTTTTTACCTTACGCTGCCAATTTGCAGTTGCTCATACAAGCATATATTAGCTCTACATTAGGAACAGTAATTTTTGTGTTCTTTCCATACCAGTACCATCTATGAGCCAGTGGAAGAGCCAGCCATCAAGAAGGTGTGACCACACTAGTACATGTAGATAGAAACTACACTGAAACTTGCAAAGGAACATGTCATGTAAATCCATTAATTATCAAAGACTTGCTTGTATATTGTACAACCCAACAACACCACTACATATTTGGTAACCTTTAAGTGGAGGAAAGTGAAGCAAATTCATGCATACCTTTCTTTTTCCAACAATAAGTTGATGAAATTAAAGCATTATGATGACCATGATCATTATGGCCAGACCTTTCACCAGCAAACTTCTACAATGTAATTCAAACTTTTATATGTAAATATTCAGCGTTCAAGTCTCTTCATGCATATCTGTTGTTTTGATCTCTTCTAAAACTCTACATTTGCATTTGATAGGTGTGAAACTGTGATACTATTTCAGCTCATTTCTTTGTTTGTTAACTTTCAGTTTGAAATATGCCTTGTCCAGATAAAAGAGTTGTCAGGTGCACATCCTGTGGGAAGTTTGGACATTTTTCATGAGGATTGCCTGAGGGAATGACAGAAGGTAATTTGGCAGATCACATGAGTAAGATCATTCTACTAGGATAAAATAAGGTTAAAAGAAAGAAATGAATGATGCAATATACTAGACAAGCATTTGAAGCATAATTGACTGGTTTTTGAACTTGCAGGTAAATGTTTCTATGTTATAGTGGACATCACAAGAGTTATGAAAGTTGTTTCCTATTGACGTTCCTCTGTCAAATGTGAAAATTGTACTCTCCATAATTTGAAAGAGTGTTTTCTTTAATTGATGATTAAATAACCCAATTTCAGAGGGGACAAACCTAATGAAGAGTTGTCACAAGTTGGTGTGATTGTCAATGTGCCATTTCTTATTGTGGTTTTTGTTTATCACCCTCAGACAGCAGATCCTAATGGTACAATTAAATGTCCTTTTTTTCAAAACGACTTAAAAGATATTGTAACAGTGCCTGTTTTGAGTGCACCACCTTTCAGTTCTACGCCATCTCCAACAAATCCCAGTGGGGTAAGTGTCAAAACATCACTATCAGCTGTCCACCATGGAAGATCAAGTGAATCTATTGAAATTGATGGAGATCTGCATGAAGAGGTCCAGGTTTGTCAAAATATTGTACATTAAAAATCAAAATACATGTAGTTTATGATGGTAATAAACATGTGTGTAAATAAATGCTTGTATACTCTAATCTGTCTTTAAGCTCTTGCTTCTCCAATAAGGAGCAAAAAATATCTTTTTACAGCTGTAGAATAATGTGATAAGAGTTGTCTAGCTTATTGACTTCATCCCTACAAGTGTAGCAGAAAGACATCATCCCCAGAATTCTTCAGCATGCTTTTGTATTTGGCTGAGTATCTCATGGAAAACTGTAGTGTGTTCTACTGCGATTTAATAGCTAACATATTGGACTCTAGAACAAAAGAGATAGGATGAAGAGTGGCCCAGCTCCTGTGTTACATGGTATATTTAACCAAAGCAGTTAACATAATCACAGAGCCTTTTCCTGCACACTTGTAACTTGTCATTTCAAGGTAATGACATTTTTTCAACAAAAGTTGACAACAGCTTATAACCATGAATTGAAATAATTATAAACTTTGAATCTTTTAGACAACACCACCAGATGCTCCACGTGTAAGTAGAGATCAACTGGGCTACAGGTTTAGGCAAAACAGCTTACCACAGCTGTTGAAGACTCATCATCAGAAAAGGGACAAGACCAGTGAGGAAACAAAGAAAGTATGTTCTCATTGCTGTAATTCTGCTTTTTCAATGCAGAAACATTTCTATACTACATTTTAAGTTTACTCAAAGTTATTTGAGTAAACACTCAAAACCCTCTTTTTACTATACATGTACTCAACCTACTTGTTTTCTCATGATATTTTAAGTACTTAAAATTTGTTTGTTTCCTTAGACCATTCAGAAAAAGAGAATTGAAGCCTTCTCTTCATTATGTGATCAGGGGAACTCCAGGAGTGTCACAATAAACCATGAAAACATTGTACAGGATATGTTAAACTTTATAACGACAAATCCATAGTTCAATCACTTTTAAATGTTACTTTTATTAACAAACCTGCAATGGATCTTATCGGAGTAAAGCAAGAAGCATTCACTCTTTTTTGGGAGAAAGTAATGCCAGTTTATTTTGAAGGTACAAAAACCTATGTACCACATATTTCTCTGGCTGTTGATGAGAGCATTTATAATGTGTTAGGTAGGATTATCTCTCATGGATATGTAATGGTCAGGGTTTTCCCAACGTTAATAGGTAAAACTTTCTTTACTGCACTCATTGCTGGGACGGAAAATGTAACTGGCAACGACTTCCTCAAAGGATTTTTGGATTACGTCAGTTCTTATGATAATGTAAGGCTACAGAATATTCTAGGGGAGTGTAGTACACAAGAGAGTATTTCTGCAAGTAGCAATGATTACCTTGTTGACTTTTTGTCAGAGTTCAGTGTGTCAAAAATGCCAAACACAAATAACCTGCAATCAATACTTATTAGTGTTGCAAGAACTGAACTCTGGAACAAGACTGTAATGGCAGCGAATTCTTTGAAGGAGGGTCTCTTTGAAGGTTTATTAGAAAATGTATGGCATTCAGCCACCAAAGACCAAGTCGATGATCTTTACAAATCTTTGCAGGTTACGACTGACAAAGTTCTCTCCCTTATTGCTATAGATGACCCTTCTGCAATGACAAAACAGCAAGATATTGTTTTTACTTATTTTAAGAAGTATGTAAGAACACTCAATGGAAGAGAATTGTCGTGCTTTCTTCGCTATGTGACTGGCAGTTCTGCTATTGTAGTTCCATCGATTAAAGTAATTTTCCATTCTTACATTGGAAATTTGCCACATGTTACAGTACAAGTTTGCTCGGCAGTTGTGGACTTGCCCTCTGGGGGCTATGATAGTTTTGCAGATTTCAATACTCAAATGGATGAAGTTTTGAAAAATGCAGAGTCTTGGAAATTCTCTCCAGTTTAAAGAGCTGACTGGTGCACATGTGTTTTGTAAGGCTTTGTTCTACATATCTAAGTTAGTGCTTTTCCCTCTTAAAGCATGCTTGAATGAAGGTACTTTTAGCCAGGAGTGTGCACATATTGCTGTTATTACTGTGTTTTTAAGTTAAATTTAAACGATCTCTATTGGGGTATCAGTGATGAAAGGATTCTTGCAAAGCTGTTGTGTTCAGTTCAGCTGTTCTGTTATTTATAACCATACAACATGAATTGCGATTAGAATTGCGGAAATGGTACTGTTGGGTGCTTATTATGTAATACCTTGTTCTTGCTGGCAGATATCTGTTACGACATTTCAACCTCACTGATAATCCAAGATGGCGCCTCCCGTAGAACTGACAACAAACCAGGTCGATCTTGTTTTCTTTAACGAGATCTCTTCCTTTTATGTGAAACTTTCAGATAAGTCTGCCTGTCTCTTGTCGTCTGTTCAAGACTGATTTGAGTGAAAAGTAGAATCGATACCACCACTAATAAGCAAAAAACCCACGAGCTTAACGAGAGACGTCTTTCCTCCATTACGACCGCACAAAGCGACAGGTAGCCCAAGCTGTGTACGTGAGCTTCATTATCACATTACAAAATAGCGTTTAACACTAATCAATTATATGGAATGTAGTAAAATTCGCTGTTTGCTAAGATGACTTCCAGAGGCTTGAAACCGTCTCCTTGCATGAATTTTAATTCCGCAGAATGTAAACAGATGTATGCTTAATTAGAGAAACAAAAGCAGTAAAAGAGGTATGGTGCTGTAAATCACAATACATCTACAGAGACAGTAAAGAGGGGCAAATGCAAAAGAGGAACGGAAAAAGGAAGACTTGCATTAATTCAATTGCGCAAGTTCATTCATAGCTAGTGTGCAAACGTAGTCATTTAAAAGTACATCGAGTTGTAAAGGAATCAAAGGAAGGAAGGAGTGCCGTGTTCCATCCATACCTACATCAAAGGAGTTGGAGGTAGCTTTGTCGTTTCAGTTCTTGAATGTCAGATGACTTACATCAGTAAGAATTGAATCAGGCAAAGGCCTTTGCATTCAGAAGAAGGTTCTAAAAGCTCTCTGATAACTTTTCTTATCTTTCTGTTGCTGTTGTTGGACTGATTAAGACAAACAAGGATATATAACCCAGGGGAATC